GAAAGCGGAGAGCTCGGTGAAATCCGCTTTTAGACCGGCGAAGAATACCCTTTAGTCGACCGGAATCGAGCGTGTTTCGTTCACACTGCATCTCTCGATCGTTTAAAAACGATTCTTCTTTTATCACTCGCATTCTCTCCCTTATACTTCCTTCTACGGTACCTACTCGACAGACCTTTCCATTCAATTTAAACTTTATTCAGGCTCTGATTAATATTCAATTATTCTTGTCGGTAATATAGGGAGCAACCTTCTTCCATTTTCCTTACTTTACACTTTTTATGGAATAACATCTAAGAAATTTTTAAGCACATTTTACGCTTTACGAAAAGTTGCTCTTGGTAATCTTTAGAATTACTTAGAATTACAGAATTATAATTCTTTTCTGAGCTTTAAAAAATTAATATAAAACAACTCAGAATTTCTCAACACTCGAGTAATCACTTGAGAGATCAATTTTCGACCGATTAAAACTCCATCATTTCACAATAATCGACCTAACAGAATTTACTCCTCCTCCAGACTTCATTTTCCGCTAATTCAATTATTCAAGATTTCTTCTAATCCTTCCCACTCTTCGATCAAACATTTCACCCACGGAAGCGTTCCCTACTTCACAAAACCACCCTTAACGGTAAAACCTAAATCCACGCGTCTCCAGAATTCCCCGATAAATTCCCTCGAACAATACAACCCCGAAACAAGACTGAGAATAGTGCCGCGACTTTTTAAATCCCCGTTATAATTCATCCTCTTCCACGATTCCCCGGTATTCCCTGTAAAAAGGAGAGGCGGTGACTCGCGGATTCCGCGGAATTCACCGGAAAAGTCGCGTGCCGCTGGACAAAGGGCCATTAAGGGCGCGGATAAGAGGACACTTCTCGTTAACGATCCACGGTACAGTTTTCTGGCGACGTTAAGGCTCGTGTACGTGCTCCGCCGCGAAACGTCGCTTCCTCCTCTCCTCGTGACCCACACTGAGACCCCTTCTCCTTCTCTACCTGGCATTTCTGCTAGACGGATTTTTTGGTAACCGAACCGGACGCTGGAAACGTCGTTCCTCGGCGGTTCTGCCGGAAGGATACGCGAAACGTGAAGCTCATGTGACCGTAGAAATTTGTTAGCGTCAGCGGCTCTGGTTTTTCCCCTATTTACGAGGAGGATACGTCGAGCTGCGTTTTTCCACCGAATTTTCTAGTCAATTTTCGATGAAAAGTTGGTTTTATTACTCGAGCGGGTAGTTTTATTCCAGGCTTTAAAGAACCTTCTTTGAAGAATTTTATCGAGTTGTGGGATTATGGTAGCTGGTGATAATTTTGATAAGCGAGTAAGCAAGTTTTGAGTGGTCTCTGAGTAAGTATTTCAGTGTGAAATAGGTTAAAAATTAGGAGAATCAATTGTACTGCTTTGTTACTTTTAGGGATTAAAAAGATTGCGATGCATTTGCGAGAGAAATAGGAAATAATAAAGGAAGCAGAAGTGTAACGTGACTGACCAATTAATTCCAAACATTTTTCAATTCATTCTAAGTCCACGGGAACGAAACTTCTCTCGTACCTTTTGTCCGCTAATTAACCGCGATACCTGCTTCCCCTCTCGTTCCCTTTAAAAAGGTTCCTCGATACTTCTTCTAAAAAAGTAAAAATGTTGCTTCGCTAGATCCACGAAAAATTCACGTAAAAGTCCGGTTTCTTCGTCGGAGTATACTTAATTCCGCCTGCAGGGAGGTTAAGTGAATTCGAAGCTGAATACGTTTAATTTACCCGAAGCATTGATCGAAAACCTGTAAATGAAAAAGCCCTACACACCGTTCAATCCCGAACGTTCAACATCGCAGTTCGCTAATCGCCTGTAAAAACACGCCACGGCGTCGGCCTTAAACGTAGGACAAAAGCGTCGCGACACACCGTCCGACAAGTAGAGCAAACCATTAAACACCTTCGAGCACAATGGGATCGCGCGTTCGGCTGCGCGCGACAAGTAGAACGGGTCAGCGTATCTCCGGGCGAGAGGCACAATAAAACCGTACCCGCTGTACTCTCTCTCCACGCTCGGACACCGTTCGTTCTCTCGTGCAACGTTTCATCCGACGTCGGCCCTTATGCACACACACACACGCATGCACAGACGTAGATATCTGCACATGAACGAGCGTTTCACCGCGTTGCCTCGCAATTAGACTTGTTTCTCGTTCGACGTAACCCTTATGACAACGTTTCCCGTGGAATTTTCAAAGGACACGCTTGAAATGACGGCGAGATGCGGCAAGAAGCGCGCACGAGGGAGCGAAAGAGAGAGGAAAACGAGAGACAGAGAGAGATAAGACAGGAGATGCAGCAGAAAAACAGGAGAAACGGAGATAAAAGGAGAGGGAGAGATAGAAGGAGAAAGTGAAAGAGATAGGACGTAAAGATAGAACAAGAGAGAGAGAGAGAGAGAGATAAGGTAAGAAGAGTAGCAGAAAAAAATGGAAGAAAAATAAGGGAAACAGAGATAGGAGTAGGAAGATAGAAAAAGAGAGAAAGAGTGAGTAGGAAGGAAGAGAGGGATAAGATGGAAAAAAATAAGAGGAACAGAGGTAAAGAGAAAAGAGAGAAAAAGAGAGAGAGAGAGATAAGGTAGGAAGACGCAGGAGAAAAAAATGGAAGAAAAATAAGAGAAAGCGGGGGAGGGAAAAGAGATCCGTGGATGGAAAACCCTCTTTGCTCTGCTCGCTCGTGCAAATTTAAGTAGGAAGAAATGTTTCGCTGGCAACGCTGCCTTTTCCCGACCCCACCCGTTTTCTGTTCGTTCGTTCCTCTTCCGTCTGAGCTGTTCTCCCCGTGGAATTTTCCTTTTTCCCGCGACCGGCCCACTCGAACCTTCTTCACCCTCTTCCCAGCCCCGCCAGAGTAACTCCTGTTTGACGTGGCGCCTGCCTAACGTAAACGCATCCACTTTTCGCCCGCTTCTTCTTTCTTCTCATATCGACGTCGCCTCTCCACGGTGTCGTTCGAAATTCATTTTTTATACCGTGGAAGCTGGTGTATCGTATCAAAGTGGTCGGAAAAATTGTGAAATCTTCCTATCGGAACTGGTAAGTTCGGATTGATGCTTTCTTCTATTGCTCCTGGACTGTCAGTCTCTCCCTTCCTCCCTTCTTTGCCTCTATCTCTCCCTCTTTTTTCCTCTCTCTCTGTTTCCCCTAAACTCTGCCTCGCTTTCCTCTCACCTCTCGATGAACTCGAAAATTCTTGCGCAGCTTGCAACAGACAGTGCTCCAACCAACCAATCACAGTTCATTAAAAAAAAGAAAAAAAAAAAACGCAAACCTACCCTTGGCTCAATTACAAGAATAACCTACATCCTTTCACCCTCACGTTCCACCGTTTCTCTGCTCGCATTCCACGCGACACGTACCAGTCTAACCACACCTTCCGTAAAAGCCATGAAACGCGAGGACGGTAACACTCGTCGGCGGAAAGGAAAGTGAGGCACAGCCCGCTCCTTTCACTCCCACGTCCGGATGATCGCATTGAGACTTAAGGGGCACGCATCCGTGAAAACGTGACCCATAAAGCTAACCGTTCATTCGTGGTTACCCCATGGGACAGCGGGGGGCGGCGTTCGACGCGCGGAGAAACCAATAATTCTGGCTTAATGTCTCGTGAAAAACAAAACAGTCTACTCGCCCCGTCGGGACTCCATTTCGATATGTTCCACCTTTCATTTTTCCACCGACGTATTTTCACTTCCTTTTTCCTCTCTCTACCTCTACGCGTGTGTGTACGCGTGCCCAGGTTTTTCCGCCTCCCTTTTCAATGCGTCGTTTTAAAACGAAACAGTACGACTTACGCGACAGGGAACAGAGGAACCAATTAAGTCGAATTATTCGACCATTCGTCACTGTTTCTCTTCTCTCCTATTTATTTGCCGCTCTCTATTTTTCCTCTTTTCAGCCGAGTATTTCTGTTTTTATCTGTCATAGAGCGGAATAACACGCAGCGGAATAGAGCGACACTCGGTTTCCCGAGGATTGTGCGGTGTTGTATCGGTCTAATCAATTCCGATTCAACTTTAATATCGCGTTTCTCCTTCTCCTTATTCAAATTTTTGTGTCTATTCTTTCTATGTGTGTAACAAGCCACAGAAATATTCGTACGCCTTCGATTTTTATAATTTGTAATTCAGAATTAATAAGACAGAATTTCTCTTCGACGAAGCGAGACGAAGAATAACGAGTGAAAATTCCAATTGTTCCAACGTTCAACTTCCGATATCCCCAACGGAGGCGTTTCATTCTCCGTATTCCAAGTTTGTTACGCTCGCGGAACATACTTCACGTGCCCGAGGAAAGGTAAACAAGGACCGGAAGCGGTTCTTCCCCGCCTTGCTCCTTCCGATGCGAGTTCGCCAAGGTAATTTTTCCTGGAATTGAAGTCTTCCTTTCCTTTAATAACCAGGCGAACGGCAACTTTTCGGTCGAGTTTCGCGAGAAAAAAATTTCTCCCACTTCCGAACCAACGAAAGCAGCTCGCCATTGTTCCACTTTGCTCTCTCCTCCCTGTATCACTCCAACCTTTCCTCGATGTCCGTCTGTCATTCCTCCGAGGAAAAGTTTACCCAGCTTCTCTCGGTATGTGCAGTAATTTTCATAATTTTTCGAACGGTAAATTACACAGGAGGAGAAACCTCGAATTTTTAAACGAAGCTGATTGAAAAATTAGAATTCCAGAATTAGACTAATTTAGAAATTAGAATTCGGGAAATGGACCAAGTTAAAATTTGGAATTCGTACGCTAGACTAATTTGAAAATTGGGTCAATTTAAAAATTAGGGTTCGAGCGAACCTATTCCAGAATATCGTTGTAATTTTCAGATTGAACTAGTTAAAAAATTACAATTTCGGTGTCTGACTGACAGAAAGACCGGAGGATAAAAATTACACGTGGAAATTGTGTAAAAATGTGGAGAAGAGGAGAAATGCAGCGTTAAGCAGAGCGGAAGTCACGAACACTTACTTGGACTCGTCCTGATCCTCGTCATCGTCCTCGGAATCGAAGAAGGCGTCGTCGTCCTCCGTGTCGACCGAAGTTTCCGTTCTCATTCGTC